GTAGGGCTGCACAATTTTGAGCATTTAATAAAGATAGTATAATAATAATCTGATTCTGTTACAATACCAATATTTATGTCTTTTCTTTCTTCATTTTCAAACGTTAAACCTTTAAACATTAAACATCAAGTTTTTATTTTGGTGGAGGAAATCTTTAAAGTTTCTCTTTTTTGGCAGTTTTATAAACATTGCTCATTACAAAGCTGGTGAAACAGGTGGTGCATGTTGCATTCCTAAATGCATGTTACAAGCGAACCAAACTTCCAAAAGCCAAAAAGCTCTAGTGTGAATGTGCCAAGAGCAAGAAAGTCAAGTCAAAACGGCAAATTGCTGAGATTGCAATTTAACTAAGAGGTTAATCTGAAAGCACACTAGATCCATCTGAGACGGATTAAAACGCAGTCCCTGGCATTAATCCCATGAAACACATCAACGTGTATGTCACAGAGAGCAGAGATCACGGGTTCGACATCTATAGCTGATGGTCTTTCATCCAAAAATGGAAATTGTGTCATCATTTATTCACAGTCAAGTCATTTCAAACCTGTATGGCTCTCTTCTGCAGAACACCAAAGAGGACAAGTTAAAGAATGTTGTTTGTCCACACAATGGATGGACTTCGGACCACTGAAGAATCAAGTCATACAGGTTTGGAATGACACAAGGGTGAGCAAATAATTATTTTCACTTTAATTGCCACCATAAGAAGTTTTTCAAGTGCTCCACACATCCTCACCTATTTCCCTGGTTCCTTCTCTCCAAACTGTCTCCTTTACCCTTGGACGATGGCGTCTCCCTTCCACTCTCTTTCTCCAGTGAAGAAGACCCCAGTCCAGGTTGTGGTGTCCGCCTGCCATCCACCGGACCTCTCTGGATCCTCCCTTGACCCCTCAGCTTGGCCTCAGAACTCCTCCTCATGGCTTGGAGCTGCGCTAGAGGCACTATGTCACAGTCTTGAGGCCTGTGCCAGACCGTCTGCTGACTTGTGCAGTTGTAGTAGTAGAACCGATTGTTATTGCTGTCAAAAAGCTCCCACCACTGGTTGCCGTCCGACTGACGGACCGGGACGCCGGGCGGCAGTTCCCACCCGCACTCGCCGGTCAGCAGGTTGACGTACATGCGCTCCCTCGAGCGCGGCTCCACAATCTCCACCCAGTCAGACCTAGAGAGAGAGGACACATGGCTAATGTAGTCAGGATATGGGTGTAATAGTGCAATCTGTAAAGAAAATCAAGCAAGTGGTTTTGTTTGCAGCTTATTTATAACGAAAATGCAGTGTAATAGAAAATCTGAAATAAAGAAATAAACTAAATTTTAACAAAAGCAAATGTAAAATGAGAGTGGAGGTTCAGCTCAGGTCAGCAGAAGATAGTATATTAGTATCTTAAAGATGTTCAGAAGATAGGCCTGCCTGCAACATCAACTAATCCATGTGTTTTAGTTCAACAGATTTACCCTTTTACAATGTAGACCTGTGATTTAGGGACTGTGGAGGAAGGAGCCTGTTATGTGCTGTTGGTTTTATCATTTTTATTTGAAGTTCAGAGTTTTATTTCCATGGCTGCGCTCCACTTTGCTTTTTTATGCCCTTCCCTCGCTAACTTCTCTCTGACTCATTGACTCGGCTGTTCAACATTGCATATGATGCATGAGGGTCCACTACTAGGGGAACATTTGCAATGGGTTCACTATAAAAAAGGATCATGATTTTAACAGTAAAAGACTGTAAAAATGCTAAGGTAAAAACGTTTGGTTAAAAACTGGTTAACAGTAGGTTTCTGTATGGTGAGTAACTGTAATAGATCTAACCTTTCATTTAATGTAATTTTACAATAAAATACTTTTAACTTTACAGTTTTTGGAAGTGAAAAAGAAAAGTCATTGTATCATTTACAGTGAAAAATTGTAAACTGACACGGCCAGAATTCCCTGCACAACACTCCATATTTGATTTGACATTTTTATTGAAATAACTGTTTCTTTGTACATTAGGGTTTTATGCTACATCTAATGTTGTAAAATTATTGGTTATTGCGTTACTTTAGTGTCATGTGTGTTACCACGAGGTTGTTTAGTATTTGTGTGAATGACACTGAACACCTTCTATATATTACTATTTACCACCTCAGCTTGTGGAAAGTTGTTTGTGATGAGCTTTGATTCATCATGTGACTTTCTCATCACCACCTGTTTTTGGTGGTTATAAGTGTATTACAACACATATATTAGTACTTCAGTAGATTGGTATATTAACATTATATTGTTAATGTAATATATATATTTTTTTACTGTAAATTGAAGTTCAATCTGTAAAACCTAAAATGTTGCTACAGTGTTTGTTTTTTTACAGTAAAGTTCTGGCAACCACAGCTGCTGTTTTTCATTGTAAATGTAAAAATATTTTGTTGTTAGTTTTTGTTTTGTGTTGTTGTTGTTTTTGTATTGTTTATTATTTTTATTTTTTTAATTAGTTTATTAATTTATAAAATAAATAATGTATGATATATAAAATTACACAAACAAATTGTACTATCCCTTTAAATCATTAACCATTCACATATATCCTATTTAGACTAAGGCAAGAGAGCACAAATAAGAGCATGATTCTCTGTGACTCTTTACTCTAACAGCTGAGGAGAGCTACAGCTGGCCCGCATACTTCCATACAGCCTCCACATAAGGAACAGGAGTGTAAAGGGGAACAGAGTCGCGTGACAGACACAGTGATGAAGCTGGTATGTGTTTGCAGTACACAAGCCACGGTTAAGACAGCTGACTCTACTGTGATGTGACCCTGTCTCTCTCTCTCTCTCCCTCTCTTTCTCTCTCTCGCGCTCGTGCCACACACACACACACACACACACACACACAGGTTTGTTTTTATGGTTTATGGGGACTCTCCATAGGCGTAATGGTTTTTATACTGTACAAACCGTATTTTCTATTGCCCTACACCAACCCTACCCCTAAACCTATCCCTCACAGGAAACTTTCTGCATTTGTAGATTTTCAAAAAAACTCATTCTGAATTATTTATAAGACTTTTGAATTACGGGGACACTGAAAATGTCCTCATAAATCACCTTCTCGTTGTAATGCCTATGTCATACCCATGTTATTATACAAATTTGTGTCCTCATAAACCACATAAACATGCACACACACACACACACACACACACACGATGTAGTGATGGGAAGTTCGGATCATTTTACCGACTCGGACCTTTGAGTCTCGTTCAGCAAAATGAACAAATCTTTTTTCGAGTCATTTCGTTCATTTTAGCAAAATATAATTAAAATGTTACGTGATACTTCCTTACCACATCTACTACTTACGCAAACGTTGATCACACTACAAACAATACAAAACTGCAATAAGAAACCGAAAAGATTTGGGTCTTCAGTCTTTGATTAGCTCACCTCACCTCTTATCTGACAAGTCTTTGGGTTTGACGCGTTCGTTCATCACGTGACAGCCCCATTATAATAAATTTGATTTCTTACAGTTTATAAATGTGTGAATTTCTGTCATTATGGTTATTTCCCATAACACTGAATGTTGTAACAAAGGAAATAAAGAGTTGGTTATTATTATTAAGTCTCTTTCCGGCTCAGACTGCATAGGGTAAGCGTATGGGGCTGTCACGTGATGAACGAACGACTTGGAAAAACCCGAAGACTCGAGATGAACTAATCAATACTCTTTCTGGCTCAGACTGCATAGGTTAAACTTATGGGGCTGTCACGTGATGAATGAACGACTTGAAAAACCCGAAGACTCGAAACAGGTGAACTACTTGACCAATTCCAGTACAGAACCTATAGGACGAGACGACTCATTCTTCCCGAGTCACATTAAAGATTCGTTCAAAATGAACGAATCGTTCAAGAACGACCCAACACTCCGCATTTGAACAGTCAATAGCAAATACTTAAACTAATAACAAAACAGTAGCAAAGTCAGAATTACCTCCTCTCCTAGGTTCACGAAACGGTCGTCCATAAAATGCATTGCTGTTCTGTTGTAAGTCATCTTAAAGATTCCTAAATGCATCTACTTTCGGAAGGCCAAATAAAGTGCTTTTGCTTTCGCCTAGAAACACACAGCGTCTCCCTGACATGGCTGCTTCAACACTAACTGCGGTTACTGAAACCACGCCTTCTTTCTTTGCGTGAACATTTGGGCGGCATTATGCAAATATTTCCACATAGTGAGGTAGATATGTGGGTGCGTGTTAGAACGAGCCGTTTTAGGGGGGCGTGGCAGAGTCTTAACTTTGATAAAGAATATCTCTTTGGTTCTGAGACTTTAGTCTTTGCAACTTCAGGGATCTTATCTATTCACGAACAGCTTGTAACACTCCAAAGAGAAAGGAAAACTTGAAATCGCATCATATGACCACTTTAAGGCATTTACATGATCTTATACAGCAAATTATTAAGCATACAAAGTGTAAAAGGTGTTAGCAAAATTTCAGTAAACAATTCAGTGACTACAAAAAGTTATATTGTCTATAGGGAAGCAATGTATGAAGTAAAGCTTTCTGATGGTCAACATGGCGAATTCACATGAAAAACCTGAATTCAAACTAAATCTGCATCTTTAGCCCTTATGAGAAATTCCCAATCACGCAGATTCCTACTGAAATGACTGGAAATGCCCACAAAAATTCACCAAGCAACAGTAAATATGACCTTAAGACCGCATATGTAAATGCTCTCATTATTATATTAACAGTCCAGTCCTTATACAGTACTTCATATTGTGTCAAAACACATCACCAAATAAGTACAGCAATCCGAACTGTTCCAGCATGCTTTGACAATTCAGCGTCCCATATGCACCGAAACACCAAACAGCATCAGACTGTACCTGTAGGAACTACGTCACACTTCACCTTGTGCTGAAGTCATGAAGTCAATGTTCTGAATCCAAATCCACAAAGACACGCAACAGACTAGACCGGCTGAAAGCTGGGACAATTACCCTGCATGTGTGCAGCTTCCTCTTCTGACTCAAGGAGGCTACATGAGAAGAAGTGTGTGTGTGTGTGTGATATCTACCTCCACTGTGAGGGTCTTTCCAGGACAGTGAGTCGTAAGCCCTACCCTATCCCAGCATGCACAGTAAGGGCCATCTGCTGTGTTTGGGGGTCAGCAGTGAGCTCATAGCGGCCCTGTAAACCTGACCACAAGCCCCTGACCCCCACACTCACATGACCAGAAGGACAAGAATAGAAACCCTTTGTGCTAAAAGGCACGTGTTCGGAGAAGAGAAAAGGAGTCTGTGAGATGATGAGACACAGAAAAATATAAAAAAGTTGTTGTGATCTGTGTGACTAACAGTGCATTCAAGTCATGCTGGGAAGACCGTATTTATGAGTTGAAAGCACATGAGCGGCACCACAAAGTCTTGAGTGGGAAACACTGCACTTTGTTTAAGCCTATAGTTTCAGAATTGGATTCAAACGATTGTATTGCACAATTACAATAGATCATATGACGATTAAATTTACTCCACCTTCATAAACTGAATAAAAACATAAAAAAAACAAATGCTAAATCACCATCTTGCTCTGACCAAAATAACGTGACGCCCTGATATCGTAATTACGACTTGAATGCACCACAAGTGCCCTTCTCCATGCGTTTAGACACCATGCACAGCTCAGATAGTGATGGGAGAAGCATTTTACGTTTTTCGAATCTCGCATCTCGAATCTTTTCAAAAAGCATCGCAAAATGATTAATTGTTTTGAAACGCTCAAAATGCTCACCTGCTGGTTCAAATGACATAAATGCAATGAAAACAGCCTTAAGTATGCACAAACACATGTTTTATAAACCAACAGCTAATGTTTTATTAAAAGTTTAATCTATTGCATGCAATTAACAAATCTTATACTATTAAATATTAAGTGTATAATGTGTGTTATTGTATTAAATTGTAGGGCTTGTTTTGTTCGTTTTATGGAGAGCTTGGTTTATCGGGTCAATAAGAGACTACTAACTACATGTTTTTGTTTTTATTATAAAAATGCATCATTAAAAATGCATGCAATTGTATAATTCATGCATTTAGAGATCGCCCCCTAGTGGAAAACCATTACAATTTCGAAACAGTTATGACGTAACAAAGAATTGTTTACTGAAACAAATGATTCGCAAAGGTTTCGAAGCTTCACGAAGCAGTGTTTTGAAAGCGCTCATTACTAAGTGCAGCATGTTATCATCGATCATTCTGAAGTCACTATGAAATACTGGCATTTTATAAAATAAACCAGATGCGGTTTCATCATTCATGTTATAAAATGTTGAAATCACTTTATTAGAACTGAGAGGCATAAGATTTGTTAAAATAAATTGAGGATGGATTATGTCTGGTGCATTTAATTGAGTGGGTTTGGGCTACTTGCAGTCCATGCACATGTTTACAGGTAAATTTAATAATCACAGAAAATATGTGGAGAGTTCTGAAAAGTTCTGGCCAACAGAAATCTTAGAGTTGCATGATGAAAACAGAGCCATATTGTTTGAGAAATACACCAGTACCCACTGACTAGATAAAGACTGTATTGAGCTGGTAAAAACACTCAGTATAAACTTTCACATGCGCTTTTGTATCTGTGTGTGCTTCAAAGAAAAATATGCATGTCCTTTTGGAGACACTGCCACAAAACAGCCTGGAAATATCCCA